GTATGACTTCTTAGATCTTTATGATAAGGGAGTGGGAAATCTCATCCTTTCATGTGCATTCTATGATGTTTAGCTCCTCTTGTCTTCCTAATCTTTGTAAATGTTCCTTCACCATGACACAGATATTAATCTCAAGAGTGTTATTCTTTGAGATGAAAATATGAGCTCTCTGGAAAAAAATCTGGTATTACGAAGTCTTCTTCAAGTGTTTAATGCACAGTTAATATCATCTTAGTCAACAACTACAACTAAAGGCTTTCAAAGAACATTTAGCACAAAATCACTGAGACCTCCAGTAGCTACTGCATTGTTGTAATAAGCAGAAGAATAACTATTTGTATATACAGTTGACTCATATTCCATTCAATATCAATAGAATTCAGTCATTGGTTACTATTCTAATTAAATACTATCATAGCAACATATTAAAAGGTTTTAACAATACTTGCAAACCTCACACATTTTCACCTTACACTTCCTCTCCTTTATATATAGAAAAATGACATATGATTACATGGCTAGGCACATGTGGTTCAGAGAGATGATGCAATGTGTTGAAGATTACTTTCTGATACATGTGGTGGAGGAAATGATGAGGCAGTGGGGTGTTATTCCTAAGGATAGACTTGTTAGGGAAGTAAAGGTTAGGGGCAGCTTAGGATATAGTGATCATGAGATGGTGGAGTTCAAGATCTTCAGTGGAAGAAGCAAACAAAAAGTAGGATTGCTACTCTGTACTTCAGGAGTGATAACTTAGATCTCTCCTGGGACCTACTTTGAGCTAGGGTAAGGGGGGCTGTGAGAGCTTCTTTCAAGCTCAGCATTGCTGAGTCCCTGTGAGTAAGAAATTAGGGAATGGTGACAGGAGACCTGTGTGGATGAGCAAGAAGCTCATGCATAAATTCAAAGTGAAGAAGGTGGTCCATGAAATGTGGAAAAATGGTCTGACCACTTGGGAAGAATATAGAAATGTTGTCAGGGCCTTCAGGAATGTGGCCAGGAAGGCTAAAACCCATTCTGAATTGGATCTGGCTAAGGTGATAAAGGATAATAAGAAAAACTTTTTAAAGTACATCAACAGTAAAAGGAAGACTAGGAAAAATGTAGGTTCCCTACTAAATGAGGGGGCTGTTCTGGTAATGGGGGATGCTGAGAAGATGGAGATACTGAATGCCTTTTTTGCCTCTGTCTTCAATGGAAAGTCTCTCCCTTGGGAATCCAGGACCCTTGAGTTAAGTGAGAGTCTGAGGAATGGAAGGGTCTGGAGCACCTCTCTCAGGAGGAAAGGGTCTGTTCAGCCTTGAGAAAATAAGACAGAGAGGAAATCTAATCACTTTCTAAAAATATCTAAGGTGTGGAAGGTAAAGGGATGTCACGGAGTTATCTCTAGATCTGTGTCTGCGACAGGGGACAGCAGGCATACAGGCCTGCCAGCCCTCCCCCCTCCTCACCACCACCCCTCCTCAAAAAAAAAGAAAGAAAAAGAGGAGAAAAAGTGTCAGTGGTTTACAGCTGGTCTGGCCTAGCCCTGTGACTAATGAGGCAGTGAAGCTGCAGTCCTGAGCCCCAGTAGAGGGTAAGGTAAGGAAATAGTAGATGTGTCCAAAAACAGAGCAGAGACAACAATCTGAGGAGGAATGTTAATTAACTAAATATGATCTCAAAATACAAGATAACACAATATAATTGGAGTTGAGGCCAATAAATCAAACAAAATGAGAGTGTCCAAAACCAAGGCCTTGCTCTGTACTGCAGCGGGACCATGCATTCCCTGCCGGGAACAGAGAGATCTGTAACCTGCCAGGAGCTCCACCTTTCTTCCTCCCTGTGCCAAGTCTTCTGGGGAATGCCACTCCTCTCCCATCTAAGAACCAAATACCCCCCAAAAAAGGCAGTCCACAGAACCAGAACATTAACTCTTTAACTTCCATTGCTTTACGTGATTTTTATCATGTGGAATACAGACAACAGAAATCACAAAACCATAACAAGGCATGAGGCTAGACTCTTTTTAGCAGTGTGTGGTGATGGGACAAGGGAAAACTGGAGCATAGGAAATTCTGCACAAATCTACATAAGATTTTCTTCACAGTAAGGGTGACAGAGCACTGGAACAGGTTGTGCAGAAGAGTCATGGAATCTCCTTCTCTGGAAATACTTAAGACCTGCCCAAATGGCCTACCTTTGCAACCTGGTCTAGGAAGTCTGCTTTAGCAGGGGAGTTGGACTAGATGATTTATCGAGGTCCCTTCCAGCCTCTACAATTCAGTGATTCTTTGATTAGTTTTAAACATTTGAGCAATATTTACCTAAGGGGAGAAAAATCTGTTGGGCTCAAATTCAAAATCCTAGTCTGTAATGCACTTGTCTGTAGTTTCTAGGATTCACATACATCTGGAACAAAGAATACATTGTTCACAGGTTCCTCTGGTAAGAACAAGGATGGGGCAGGTATAATACAAACAAATTAAGGTGCCTGTGCTCACAAAGAAACTTGTTCAGCCATGGAACTCCTTGCTACAAGATATGATGGATGCAGGAAATTTACATAGGCCTGAACGTGACTGTAAAACTGATGAAACAAAAAATCTTTGGGGGCTGTCACATCCTGGATCAGTAATCCCTAAAATCTAAGAGTAATCTGGGAAGATATGATCACGTACTTTTCCAACTCTTACACTCTTCTCTAGGCATCCAATACAGAAAGCTGCAGAGACGTGTTTGGATAAAATGGCTTTTTCTCAGATATACCACTGACATTTTAAAATTTAAGTAAAGCCATTACTCTAATCATTCAATCACTGTCCCAAAAATATGCAGTAACCAAAAAAAAATCTGAGCAATTCCACTGCAATTTTTTTTCCATAGGTCTACTTTGAGATACTGTCACATTGCACAGCCTACACAAAAAAATCTGGGCAGGACTGTGTCTCATCAAACAGTTATATTCTGGTACTTGATTCTCTAAACGTTATATGGTACCATCCTGAATTTGCCGAATGAACATTGGTTGCTATGGAAACAATCTTCTAATTTCAGCATTACTGATTTAGGTTAGTACAGGAATACTTGAGTGTGGCTCTTCAGATTGGAACTGTACTCCTGTGATAAGGTTCAGGATGCTCTTTACAGGAAAATTTATAGGGAGAAAATGTAAGAGAATTAAATCTCCATTTAATGACATAGATCTATGCTAGTCCAAAAAGATTAGCCTGACCTCTGTGCGTGGGAAGATCATGGAGCAGATCCTCCTAGAAGCTATATTTTGGCTCATATGAGATAAAGAGGTGATGCAAGACAGCCAGCTTCACCAAGGGCAGATCTTGCCTGACCAATCTGGTGGCCTTCTAGAATGGAGTGATGGCACTGGTGGACAAGGGAAAGGCAATAGGTGTCATTTACCTTGACTACTGCAAAGCCTTTGAATGGACCCTTGCAACATCCTTCTCTCTAAACTGGAGAGGTATGGATTTCAAAGATGGACTGTTCAATGAATTAATAACTGGTTGATTGGTTGCAGCCACAGGGTTGTGATCAACAGTTCTGTCTCTGGGTGGAGGCTGGTCACAAGTTCCTCAGGGGTCGGTCTTGGGACTAGTGCTCTTCAACATCTTTATCATTACATAGACGATAGAATTGAGTGTACCCTCAGCAAGATGACACCAAACTGAGCAGTGCAGTTGATACTTTGGAAGGAAGGCAAGCCATCCAGAGGGACAGGCTGGAGAAGTGGGCCCATGAAAACCACTGAGGTTCAACATGGCTAAGTGCAAGGTGCTGCACTTGGGCCTGGCAACCCCAGGTATTCATACAAACTACAGGAAGATCTCCTTGAGAGCAGCCTGCAGAGAAGGACTTTGCGTGAACAACAAGCTGGACATGAGCCGGCAGTGTGTACTTGCAGCCCAGAAGACCAACTGATTTATGGGCTGCATTAAAAGAGAAGTGGCCAGCAGGGTGAGGAATGTGATTGTCCCCCTCTACTCATCTTGTGAGGCCCCAACTGGAGTACTGTGTCCAGGCCTTGGGCCCAAGCAGAAGAAAGACGTGGAACTCTTGGAACAGCTCCAGAGGTAAGCCACTAAGATGATCAGAGGGCTGGAGCGCCTCTCCTATGAAGAAAAGTTGAGGGAACTGGGCTTGTTTAGCTTGGAGAAGGCTCCAGGGAGGCTGATCGAACTTGGCTTGTTTGGCCTGCAGAAGAGAGGGCTCTGGGGAGGCCTCATTACAGCCATTCGGTATTTAATGGGGGATTTATAAAGAGAAGGGAAAGCAACTTTTTACACAGGTTTATAGTCAAAGGAGAAGGGGAAATGGTTTTAAGCTAAAAGGGAAGATTTAGATTAGATGTCAGTGGTACATTTTTCACAAGAGAAGGTGATGAGGTACTACCACAGGCTGCCCAGAGAAGCTGTGGATGCTCTGTCTCTGGGGGTGTTCAAGAACAAGCTGGATGGGGCGCTGGGAAGCCTGATCTAGAGAGCGGAAGCCTGATCTAGCAGATGGTAACTCTGCCTGTAACAGGAGCGTGAACGAGGTTGTCTCTGAGGTCCCTTCCAACCCAACCCACTGTTTGATTCCATGATACAGAACACATCACCTGCCAGACCCCCAGTGCACTATACATTTAACTTAAACTTGGAGGCGGTGGGAGGAGCCTCCACTCCTTGCCCGTCATAAGGAAGCCGCTCCCACACGCTCGGAAGCTTACCGGACGGCAGTCCACGAGACTGGCACGGGACTAGCAACCAACAACCGCCGCAACTTCCCTACCCGGCCCACTCCAGACCGTAGTGGAACCGCCAATCACCTCACCGGCCAATCACTGCGCTGCTCCGGCGGCGCGCCCCGGCCCGGGCCCCGCCTTTCCTCTCTCCCAGCTGTCCGCACTCTACTCTGCGTCTTCCAATGATTGGTGGGTCGGCGAGAGGGCGGGACACGAGAAGCGCCTGAGGGACGTCATTGGCTGTGCCAGCAGACCAATAGGAAATAGAGCCGATAGATTCAAACGGAGCGGGCTCGAGCCTGGCAGTTAGTCATTAGGGGAGGGGTTGGCGAGCAGATTGTATCGCGCCTAGAGTTCTGCTGCTTTTCGTCATGGCTCACAAGGATATCTACTACTCCGATAAGTACTTTGACGAGCAGTACGAGTACCGGTACGAAACAGCTTCGGAGCACGGGCTTAGGGAAGAGGGAGGGAGTCCTGCTGGCTGCCCCGAGGCTGTTCCCGGTGCTCCAGATTTTATCGAGGATAAAGCTCTGTCCGTGCTCTCTATGGAGGTAGCTGGGCTGAAGGCTGGAGGTAGCGCCTCGCTCTCTCGCCCTAGGTTTCCTTTCGGCTTTCGCCCAGATGGGGAACGCTGCTCTCGACCGGTCTCCTTCCCGGACCGGCCTTGGGCAGCGCACAGCGCGCGTTCCGGGCCGCGCAGGCGGGGTAGGCTCTCGCTGCAGCTCACCAGCTCAAGAGTCCTCAGCGGGAACATTTCTTATGTCCTTTTCGAAGCGTAGTGCTGATAGATGCCCTTTGTGAAGTTCTTCAGACAGTATTCTACCTGCTGCTTTTCAAAGGTCTGCAATAGCACTCGTTGATTCTGCAGTTCGTTTAACAGTACCACTTACAGTCTTGTAGATTTTCTTGAAAGCACGACTGCAAACGAGTGTTTTTGCTACGTGGAGCCTGAGTACCTGTTTCCACCTGACTCTTAATAGTTATTTGGCCTCAGAAACAAGATGGAACACTTTTTTATGATAAAGGAACTTAAAATGTGGAAAGAGGGTCTTAGGTTTCTTACCTCAGGCTCCCAAGTGGTATTACTGTTTTGTCTTTGAAAACTAGCACTGTAATCTCTATAGAGAATGTATTCACTACAAAATACAATCAAGAGCGACTTTCTCAATGTATTAGAAATGTGAGGTCACTGCTTTTTTTTTTTTTTTTTTAAGTTGCTTATATGATGGACAATTGCTAATAACACATTCTTAAGTACAAATGCCATAATTAGAGCATGCAGGGGAATTAATCTCTTCTAGGATGTTCGCTGTCTCAATATGCAGTTGCACTGAAGATGTACATTTAAAATTGAATTTTGGAATTAATGTTCCATAATTGCTGGTATCCATGAGCACCCTAGGATTCTTTCTAGACTGGCCAGGGTTGGAAGGGACCTTAAGGATCATGAATCTCCAATCCCCCTGCCACGGGCAGGGCCATCAACCTCCCCATTTAATACTAGACCAGGTTGCCCAGGGCCCCATCCAGTCTGGCCTTGAACACCTCTAGGGACGGGGTGTCCACAACCTCTCTGGGCAGCCTGTTCCAGCACCTCACCACTCTCATAGTAAAGAACTTTCTAGGGATTGCTGGTAATCATAAATGGACTTGCTTAATATCTTTTAGCAGAGACCTTTGCAATGTATCTAGGGTGTAATGTGTTAATTACTAATCTACAGGCATGTAACGCTGCCAAGAGAACTCTTAAAACGAATGCCAAAAACTCATCTTCTGTCTGAAGAGGAATGGAGAAGCCTTGGAGTTCAGCAAAGTCTTGGGTGGGTTCATTATATGATCCACGAACCAGGTAAATACAGATGAATATGACTGATAAAAAAGGAGTCTAAAATATATATTAAAAAAAATATTTAAGATATCACCTGAAACTGATACTCAACTGAAGTATAAAGATGAATAGTTGCTCCTGCTGTTGAATTTGCTTCTAAATGTTTTCATTGTTTTTGATTTCTTTTGTCAGCTCTTTGCTATTTAAGTTAGCTACAACATAAGCAACGCAGGAGGTTTTTTTTGGTGTAAATTTCATCTCTGAATCTTGGAACTGTTTGGAAAATGCTAGTTTTTTTCTAGGTTTATGCTTTCTCTGTATATTGGCAAATCAAAATTGTAGAATACTTTGGAAGGGACCTTAAAGAGCATCTTGTTCAAACTTGTTTGTACCTCTGCCTCTGGAATAAGTTTTTTGTGAGCTCTTGTATAATGTTAGAATATCAGTGGCTGAGGAAAACTTTATATAGCAGCATTTTTCTATGTCATGTACCTGGTACACCTACTTAGTAGAAAAACCCAGTGGATACTCATGTAGATCACATCCTGCATTAATGCTCTGAAAAATCCATGACATAGTTTTAGGTCTAGTAATTGTGTACTAAATGCAGCCTTTCAATTAAAAGATGACAAAGACCTTAAATCTCTCCAACCATTTTGTGTACTAAGATAGCCATATCTGGTACTTGTTAATCAAGCTGAATTAAAGCCAACCTCATGAAATTCCAAGTTTCCAGAAAAAAGGAGGAAGAAACTAGTCTAACCTTTCAAAACTTCCCTTACCTGGATACCTTTGGTATTTTTGAATGGGATTTTTTGGAGGGGTTTGCAGTTAAGTCAGGTCAATACTAACAGAAGCTAGCTATATTAACTGAAGTGGCTTTTGTTGATGTTTGACAGTATATACCTCACAAGAACAGCATCAGCAGTTTCTCATATTGTTATACTTGTATACTGAGTAATTCAAATAATCTAATGCAGAGAGACAGTGTTAATTCCCATATCTGCTCTACTTCCTTCCTTTATAAGTTTATGATACTGTCAACCTTTGGTATAAATTTTAAAGCATGTTTGCAATCTCTAAGGTTACTGTAGAATTGATCTGTAAATATTACACTTGAGAACAACTGTGGGTTTGGTTTATCCGTTTCTTATTCAGTAGTATTGTTCAGGCCTTATTAAATTGATGAAATACCTCTCATCAAGGCTTAGAGGACAGACTGATACTTTGTTCAATTTTATTCCCACAGAGCCACACATTCTTCTCTTTAGAAGACCTCTTCCAAAAGACGATCAGAAATGAACCACTGTCTAGAAATATTCTCCTTAATCTTCTGGAACTTTGTGTATGCATGTAAATATGTTGGTAGTATTCAGTGAATACTTTATGTACAAAACATACAACTGTATCTGTGCATGAGCTGTATTATTCACAGCAACAAAGCTCAGTCAAATACAATTTCTATTAGGCTGCTATTCTTTCAAAGAGAATGGGATTTAATTTTTAATGTCTCTTAGTCTGAAATGAGTTCTCTTTAATAAAGTTTACTGTTGTATGCTCGGAGTCATATTTTTTTTTTTTATTATGCATGTAGTAACTTTTGCACTCAGCTTTTCTGCTAAAATGTTGCATGCTCAAAAGCACTTCATCACTAGGCATGAAGAAATAAACCTGGCTTGTAGTGCTCTATGAAATGTAAACCTGTATAGAGTTCTAATTCACCAGACAAAGCAAATTAGCTTATGGAGAAACTTTAACTAAGTAAATTGCAGAACTGTAGAGTTTGGAAGGGGCTTCTGGAGGACATCTAGTCCCACCCCTGCTAAGGCAGGTTCCCTACAGTACGTTATGCGTTAAAGCGTCCAGACGGTCTTGAATATTTCCACAGAAGGAGACTGCACAGCCTCTGGGGCTCTCGTTCCCGTGCTCACTCACCCGCAAGTAATTTTTTCTCACGTTCCGATGGAACCTCCTTCGTCTCTTTTGCGCCCGTTCGACCCCGTTCCCCACGCGGCACTGCCGCCCCCCGCGCGCCATTGGACGGACGTCATCACGGCGCGCCGTAGGCCCGGCCGCGGAGCGGAGTGGCGGGACGAAGCTCTCGCCATGTTCGCGGAGAGGCGCCCTGGCCGAGACAGCGAGGTAAGGGCGGCGCCAGCCCCGCGCGTCCTCGGCCTGTCGCGTATTCTGGTGGAGTGGTCGCCCCGGTCCATGGCCCCGCACCCACACGCTTGAGGGGATCGCGCGCACGGCGCGTCAGCGGGGATGACTGAGGGCCCGATGCGGCCTGAAGCCGGGAGGGGAACGAGGCGCGGCTGGCAGGTTGGGCGCTGCGTGGGGGAAAGTCGCAGCGGGGCTGGGCCGAGCGCTCAGGCGTTGCGCCTCGGGGGCCTGGAGACGCGCTGTTGCTCGGGGGCTGTGTCCCTGACGGGAGATCCCCGCCTGCGGCCGCGGCTTGTGCCCGCGGTGTGCCGCACTGCCGTCTGGGCACCGACCCCGTTTCCAAATAACCGATCCCAGTTTCCTTCCCTGTTCGCTTTCTGAATAGTTACGCACTTGTGTGTTTGTTACATGCTTAAACGTGTAGAATTCACACTCCGTTCCCCCCTGTTGAAGTGGCCGCTCAGCGTGTAGTTGGAACTGTCGGTAGGTTCAGGAGTGGAGGAGTTTGCATCTCCGTCTGTTCTCCTTTAGTCTGTCAGAGTTCCGTACGTGTTTGTGATGAAATTAGCGCAACAGCCAGAGGGAGCATTGAGCCCAGTATATATGCCTTGATATTGAAACTACTGTTCAAGTATTTTCAAGATTACTGTGTTATTTAGTTACTGAAATTGGCCTTGGCAAGTGAAAAGGACTTCAGTTTTCATACAGCATGCTGTTCAATCCAGAAATACACAAGTGGCTAATGACCTGTTGCATTTATTGCCTTGTGACGCTGTAATGGCAGTGAGTACATTGACCTTTATCTCAGTGCTGCTACATATATATATGATCCAGTTTAAATCAGAGGTACTTCAGAACAAATGGAAAATCTGCTTTAGTGGATTTATACTGTTTAAAAAATGAGAATGCTTTGTGATTAAGCATTTTTTCCACACAGACTGATTTCAAATAGAAGTGTACACAAAGCCTTTATTATTAATATGTACTCCCAGAGTCAGATGTTATGGCAGTGTTAGTCATACATTGTGAGTTTTAGATCACGTTGTTTGAATCTAAAGTGAGAGTTTGTGTGCTGGTGCTTACTGTATATTCTGTTACTTTGTGTAAACGACCTTTACAAGTATTACATATTAGATGTGGATATTAAGGGAAATGGTTTTCCAGAGAAGCCAATGTTTTGCTTAGGGTTCCTTGGTTTTGCTTCTCTTTCTTTTCGGTGAGCTTTCTTTTTCATGTTCTGCTGGAAGAGAGCAAACTTTTCTATGAGGGTTGTGCTGGCAGGGTAAGTATATTTTTCACTTAGAAGATTAATCTCAAAATGCATGTAGCCAAAAAATGTTTTGTTTCTCAGGGCATCGAGTTGTCAGCAGAGGTCAAACCATTTGTTCCAAAATATGCAGCGGTAACTGTGGCATGGTCAGAACCCTCAGCAGCATGTGTCTTTCCTAGGTACTTAACTACAGGCTACACATTTGTTCAGGAACCATCTTTGGATAAGTATGTATATTTTCTGAATCTTATATCTTGGGGGATTTTAACCTTCCAGTTTTGGACATTGATTACTCTCAGAAAGTCAAAGGTCTGATATGTTAATATTCTGACTAAATACATTCTTGTCCCTTGTCCTCAAGATTTAGATCTATACCTTTCTATTATTTGGGTGTATATCGGTATCTCACCTCTTGTTTCCAAAGGCCCATATTGCAGTGGACTATTAAAGACAGCTTGATTGTAATGATTACTCTGGCCATTTTGTGCTTTCAAAAGAGCTGTATCTTGTTCTTGAGTGAAAGAATGGTTGTGTTATGACAAAGTTAAAACAGACAGAATCAAGTAAGAAGGAAGAGGGCACTCCTCCAGGAGTGTTTTTCCTACTGTAATGTATGAGATTACTGCTCAATCTCCTTTTCACAACCTCTATGTCCCAGGAAAATAAGTCTTAGTAAGAACATAAGAGGCTTCTTAGAGTATTTTTCTAATGAGGCCTGAAAAACAGGCATTCATAATAGATTTATAATTGTATTGTTAAGCCCAGAGCAGTCTAGAAGAAAGCCCACATACTGGGATAGGAAATAATTGAATACTGTAATAATTTTTTGATGTGATTTAGCTCTCCAGTTGCTTCTCAGGTTAGTAGAACTCTGAACATTGAATTAACTTTGGAATTAATGCAGAATTACTGTTATGTCCTTAAAAAGTTGAGGTAGAGCCTTAGGGAACATATTCATTCTAGGCTTTTTTAGTATGTCAGCCATTTTATTTACAGAGATTCTGAGTACTTCAATCCATTTTTATGTGTAATATGTGCTTAGCAATGAGATTAGTATGGTCTCATTTATGATATTTTTTAGCATTGGAAAGATCAGGGACAGAAGCAGTATTCTCATGAACATTTTGCCTTGTTGAGGCTGAGCTTAGTTCTTATTGTGACTCAGATTTATTACTTTTTTTTGTAAACTGATTATAAGAGTTGTTTTGACTACAATTTATCAGAATTGCAGAAGTATCTTTTTCTGGTGGGACATTTTTCACTTTTTTATTAGAGACCTGGGGTTGAGATGTTGTCCATTTTGTGCCGAACAACTTTGGATGCAGCTTTGTTTTTCCCTCACTTTTCTTTACTATTAATCTATCTTTATGTCAACTCACAAGTTTTACTTTTCCTTGAATTCTTCCCCCATCCCATTGTGAGGAAGTGAATGAATGGCTGTGTGGTGCTGAGCTGTCTGCCAGGTCTCCCTTATAAAATCTGGATCTCAGTGTACAGTTTCTGTAGAAAGTATAGAGTGAAATTGGAAGGAAACTTGGAAGTACAGTTGAAGGAAAGGCATGCCACAGACACGTCACAGAAAACATGTTGTGCTTTCATCAATGTTACAGTTAACTGCAGTCCATTTACTGGCTGTCTAACAATTTTGTATTGTATTTCACACATGCTTTATAACCCCATAAAATGCTGTACTGCTACTTTGTTGTTACGACATCTTAAGATGGATTTCACTGATTAGTGTTTGTGGGTTTTTTTTAGTCAAATGCATAATGCATCTTATGTAGTTACACTGTGCTTTTGGTTTGTTTCACAAGAAAAAGCCTACCAAAAATAAGTGTGAAGAAAACTAGCAATCTTAAACAGAAGTGAGGGCTATAATTCTCAAGCAGTCTAGGTTTGCAACTTGAAGCATGCAAGATCTGTGTTTTTAAGTACTTGCTACAAACTGCATGTTTTATCCAAACCAAAATACATTACTTTTTAAGAACATATGGCAGTGAATAAATAGTTGGTTGAAATAACATGAAATATTTTTCTTTTGGAATATAGCTTTCTTGTTAAACAAATTCTTCAGCCAAAGAATGGTATATTTATCTAGGCAATGAGTATATGCTGAAGATTTGCCTGGGGATGACCTCTCATCTCTTTCTCAATGTCCATCACATAGTGTTGTGGGAGATCCTGCATTAAATGAATACTCCAGCAGCTCTTGCTCACCTGATGTTGTTTCAAATACAAATCCAGTAGCTGCCTCACAGTATCATTCAAATGGGTCAACATACTGTAATGATTCCAGAATAGTCAGTGAATCTGCTGAACAAAAGTATCCAATCAGACAAGAAAGTAAGAGTCTTTTAAAGGTGAGCAAACACGCTTTTTAAAGAATTAAATTCTTTAAAGTAGTCTGAATGCTTTGTTCATTGCTGAAGTGACTAATCAGTCTTTGTTTGTGTAGGAATAATGAGTGGTACTTCAAGAGGATGATAGTGTTTATGAGGCCAAGTTTAAATTTCAGAAAAATTAATCACATTCTCCAATTAGTACAGTTTTCCAAGCAGCATTTTTGGAACATGAGAGTAATGTATTGTTTTTCCTTAGAAAGCAGCACCTGGGGAAAAAAAAGAACAAAACCATTTTACATTTGTGAACCATGCTTTCCTTCATTTGCTGTTGGAGTTTGGTTTCTTTTTTGGAGCACAGTAGCAGCAGCCTCCACAAGCATAACTTACAGATAATTGATGGCTGTGATCAGTTGCATGGCCAGTAAGTGATTGGACTGCATTTATTGTTCAAACATTTCCAAAGCCTGCTGCAGAAAACAATCCAAATGAGAGCAGGAACATATTGGAGTGGAGAGGGAATAAAGGCTCACATTAGAAGTACCCTCAGTCAAAAGTGAAACCGATGTTCAACAAAAATCTTCAGTGTTTTTTTTCGGGGGGAGGCAGTTCTGTGGTCTAAGTAAACCCAGGCTGAGCTGGGTACTGTTTGATGGTCTTTTTGGCACTCGAAATTTACCTTCTGGGGTCTTTAAGAGAGAAATAGAACTTAGTGTCTTTGCAATAATTTGGTCACATCTCCTGGGGCTTTAATGATATAGCTTTCCAGGCCAGGAAGTATCC